TTTCTGTTTCTTCATCTTCTCAACTTTAGTTTCTATCAGTATCAGCACTTTCTTTTCCGTTTCACTCGATCTTCATCTTTCTTGGTCACGCTTCCACAGAAATACAAAATCAGCCACAAGAAGGCAGACTCTAGCAAGGCAGGGAAGGGCTACATGCGGCTACTTTTTTTGGGCCATCGTCTTTGTGTGTCTCAGGAACGAAGAAAATATCATTGACAGGAAGGGAGATGGGGAGCGAGCCTCTTTCGAGAACACAGAGAAAAAGTAATGGAAGCGGAGTGGGGCAAATCCTCAATCACTTGTCCCTCTGCCTTCCTGCGCGCCTTCCTTCTTGCAAATGAGAACTGCGTGCGGAAAGGAAAAAACAAGCCTCTGAGTAGCAAGGGCAGGATACCTGTTTCACTTTTGCTGCTTCGCGGACGAAGGAGATATATGAACAATAGCAGAACTGAGCTTGGGGGGAGATGTCAGGGAATGGCAAGTTCTTCGTTCGCTTGTCTTGTCGTGTTTTCTCAGAGAATTACATATCGAAAGGCTGCGTGGGCCTTTTTCCCCACCTGCCCCTTTTCTTGCCGACGCTCTCGCTCAGAAGAAGAAGAAGAAGAAGAAGAAGAAGAAGAAGAAGAAGAAGAAGAAGAAGAAGAAGAAGAAGAAGAAGAAGAAGAAGAAGAAGAAGAAGAAGAAGAAGAAGAAGAAGAAGAAGAAGAAGAAGTAGAAGAATAAGTAGAAAGAAGGGGCAGCACAAAGAAGAGGTCATGTTCCTGCCTATGTCCACCCTCTCCCCTCTACCTTTCTGCGCTTTCTTGACCAGAAAGGTCGCCAAGCAGGGGGGGGGGGGGGCAGGGCCTTCGTTTCCCAGTTTATTCAAGTTTCTTTTTACCTGCGTCAAGCTGGGGATGAAGAAACAGATGAGGACGGGAGAGAGGGAGAGAGAGAAAGCGAGGGAAAAGAGAGAGAGAAAGTGCACGAAGAGGAAGGGCGACCAACCATTTTAAGGGTTTCAACGGGTTTGAACAGTTGTGTCTTCTTGTGCGACCCCAGCGAACCACCCCATCATTCCAAACAGACTCTACGGCATCCTCTGAGGATCCAGGATGTCGTGCTCCCAGTAGCTGTTCATTATGTTGGTATCACAGCAAGCTCGTCTGTAGAATCGTGTGGCAAGTGAGAAAGCCTTTCTCTGCACCTTAGCTTGTTCGCCCGTGCTGATCATTCGCGGGACAAGGGGAGAAGAGAACGAAGGAAGGTATACAGTACAGGAAGGGGGAGGCAAGAAGGAGGATTTTTGCCAGGATCGCTGGGCTGCAAGGCTCTAAACCCAAAAATAGTCCAAGCAAAGCTCCCCATTTGGACAACCCGGGCCCCTGAACCAAAACACCGTAGCCACTTTCCGAAGCCCTGCACAATCCCGAATGACGTGTACAAAGATGCCATGTATGCCAAGGAGGGACCCTGGCTCGAAGTCCACGATCGCCACGGACTTCGAGCGCCTGCCGCGAAGCAAGAAGGCCACATTGCCAGGCTTTACCTACCATGAAGGTCGAGGCGCCCATAAGTAGAAACTTAGACCCAAACGGGCCTACAATAAGGCCTGTGAGGCAACTACAATGGGGCCCAAGTAGTTCCCATTCTTGATCATCGCACGTGGATGTTTTGCGCTGGAGAACTGTCTTTTGGTTGGCTTTCAGTTGCTCTGGCTTTTAGAGTCTTTCAGCGTAGTAGAGTTTGGGAGAAGATCAATGCTGTGTACTTGCGGGTCATCCGTTGTAGCCCTCTTCGAGGTACAAAGTACCTTCCCCGTTTTGGTGGGGCTTACAAGCTTTCTGTTAGTTTAAACGTCTTAGATTTAGAGTGGTAGGGCGTTTTTCTTCTCGAGGGTCGTATTACCTACGGTTGCTTCATTTGCAGGGTTCGGGGTTTTAGGTAGCCTCCTGGGCCTTTTCGGATCTACTTTTTGTCAGCAACAAGTCTTCCAGACAGTTCGCGCACACTTTCTTGCGGGGAGCATACACGTGCTTTGGTCATCTGCAAACCGTCGCACCCTATCCAGGCAGGTCCACTCACAGTACTCTTGCGGAATCATGCGCCGCCAAATGGTGTGGAATTGGGCAGAAAACATCGACGCTCTGCATTTGAGGTTTTGGTGGCGTGCTTCAACGATTCAGGGCTCGAGGATGGTATTGTGAGTGGGGCCTCGTGAAGCTGTTTGGCAGTGTATTTTAAAGCCCTGAAGCTCTACTTCGTCTTGCACGAAGGCCACAGGATTGACTTCTGAACAGAACAGTACTTCAATAGTCTTTTCCGAGCTGAATTTGAGGCCCAAAAGCGTGTATAATCCCTACAAATCCCTGCAAGTGTGATGCTGGTGCAGGGAACTCAGCCCCGACCCTATCGGGACAGGAAACTTCGGTTTGATTCAGAGCTTAGAGCTTCCGTAGGGCTTTAGGAATAAAGATGTTGGTGTTTTGGATGATGCATGTGTGGGAGGCCATTTCTGCGGCCAGATTGGCCAGAGTCCCAGGCGCTCCGCTGAAGATTGATTGTACCAGCGAAGATGCCACAGGTCTGAACCTTAAATCCTCAACATTCCTCAACCCCATCAATTCCAGAAGCCCTATGCGCCCCCAGATCTAAGACTGTGAAGCGGGGTTTCTCATGATGCCGTAGAGATGGGCAACAAGGTGCGATTCTGCCGGAACAACCTCCGCATGCACTCTCTGGAATTCTGTCTTGCATCATTGTCCCAATGGTGCTGAGGTTGTCCTACACGGGTTCCTTGTAAATACGGCCCCTTAAAGAGCGTGTTAGCATAGCCCCCATGCATGACCTCCCCCCTAAGCTCGTATACACCCCAGGTCCTGAACCCTAAACCGAGACCCTAAGCCCTAAACCCTAAACTTAACCCTAGAACTCATAGCGTTCGCTGCCATAAGGTCCGAGCAGGAGACGGGCACGTGGACACAGCCTCCTGGGTGGCCATATTGAGCGATCTCATCCGCTGCGCGCCGGGGCCTGAACTGCGCCTCGACGGCTTGAGGTTACTGGTAAGGGATGTTAAGGCTGGTAAGGGTTTTGTTCAAGGGCCGGGTGAAGGGTCGGATTTGAATGATATACCAGAGAGAGCTCTAAGGTACCGTATTATTGTTCTTCCCCGATTTTCCGGGGGCATTTTGAGCTCAAGGGAATAGGTTACGGTTTTGGTGATCTCAGCCTTAAACCCAAAAGCTCCGAAACCGAACCGAATACCCAAATCCTGAAGCAGAACAGAAGATCTGAACAAGGAATGGTTGAATGCAGCCTCTGGCTTATGAGGCACACGTGGGTAGGAATATTCACGTGTGTTTCAAAGCATTCCTGCCGCTTGTGTATTCTCTCGGCCTGCAGCCGCGGCGCTGCGCCAGAAGATGCCCTTCCAACAATCCCTAAAACTCCCCTGAAAGCCCAAAGCAGCCCAAGAGTCTGGAAGCCGCCACCAGGTCAACAGCTGTCACAGGATGCCGATACGAAAATCCCGGGCTAAACATGGTGTTTGAAGAGTCTATCGGGGCGTGTACAGGTTTTTTGGTGCTTCTGGGATCCTGGGCAGGCCGCAGATGTCTCCGGTACTCGCTGTTTCCCTGGGCAGCGGAGCCGGGTTCCTCAGCAAAAGGCTTATTGCCTGTCTAAGCCCCCTGGACGATTCTCAGACGTCTTGTGGTTTTGGATGTGTCCAATATGTGTCGAAGATATGGAAAGCATTGCCTAGCAAGGTTCTCCTCTACTTGCTTTTCGGGCTATAGCTTCACATATCATAGGCTACCGTACAGAAGCTGCGGCATGATAATCGCATAAATGAAAGGTTTTCATCTCTGCAAGATGCCTTTTCGAATTGGACTCCTGACTTAGTAAGGACTCCGAATTGGAGGAACACCCTAAACCATCCAAACCCCTAAACTGAGGTGGCTAAACTCGGGCTTACCTCAAAGGGCCGGGTGTCGACCTCAGTCCAAGCTGTTCATTTCAGCACACTAAGGTTTTGGGGCTTGGGAAGGGTTTAGGGCTCAAGGTTTTGTGGTTTGGGGTTTGGAAGGTTTAGGGCGGATTTGGGGCTCAGGCCTCAGGAATGGTCTTTCAGGTGTAAGGTTGAGGGGTGAGGGTTTTGAGCTTTGACCAATTTCGCGGCAGAGCAACAACTTAGTCTCCAGGGCTGTGTAGCCCTAAACCCTAAACCGTAAAGTCTTTCACTTAGAGCCTCAGGCCTGTCAGCCTTAGCCCAGACCCCAACAGGCAACAGGAGTTCAGGTTGAAGTTCTAATCCAGCATTTGCCCCTGAAGCCCCCGAAGCCCCAAAAGACTCTTAAGACCAACTCCCAAACCCTGAACCCTCAAGCTTCCGAGCCTAGGCACTCGGCACATCCCCTCATAGCCCTGTGGCCGTAGTGTGAGTTGGCTTGCCGGCCAGCTTCCTCCGCGCCGAAGAGCATAGCCGGTTTCCAGCTCAAGCACCGAATGCAACGAATGCTGGCTCAGAATTGTTCGACGTCAGCTGTCGTGAGTTTTTTTGCTTCATTAGAGTCATAGATGGTTCCCTGGGTGCAAGCCGGCCTACTCCCTACGCAGCCCACCACTCCCGCCGCCCTCACTCCCCCCTCTACCCCCTACCCTCTACCCCTTACCCCCTCGACCTTCCACCTCTAGCCCTACCCCCTACCCCCTACTCCGCTCCTAACCAACTTCTAGTACCGCCTCTGGCCCTCCCCCCACCCCCCTAGACCTTCCACCCCCTCCCCTCTAGCCCTACCCCTCTAAACCCATTCCTGGCCATGATGGGCAGCAAGAACGTTTTGTTGGGCTGCATGCTCCTGCTCACATGCTGGGTTGGCTTTCGGCTCCTGTCAGATCCTTTTATCAGTACAGCAGCTTCGCAGTCGAGCCGGACGTGCTTGATTACAATTTCATCATTTAATAACTATGGCTTTGTCCGGGTGTTGCTGAAGCAGGCCGAGGCGCTGCATCCTGAAATGGTTTTCATTTGGGTCGTGGCGGACGACACACTTGTTCGAGCAAAAGATGCAGACAAAGAGCTGCCTATGCAGATCCTTAGACAAGTCCCCAACAGGTGGCACGCTGTTACTGCTGATCGCCTCCAACCATACATGTCCTTCAGCTACATGGAACTTGCCTTTCGCTACAATATGCAGTGCTTTAACACTGCCATAAAGCCTGCTGCTTTCAAATACGCCTTTGATAAGCACAACTGTCGGAAGGTATTGTATTTTGACAATGACATTTGGATCCTGCAGCCCCTTACAACCATCATTGAGGCGCTTGACCAGTACCGACTAGTCGTCACTCCGCACGTAACACAGGAGGTGCCCCTGGACGGTCTCCACCAAGACGAACGAACTCTCATGCTTGCTGGGCAATTTAACTTCGGATTTATTGCTGCATCGAAGAGTGAGCTGACCCTAGAGTTTCTCGACTGGTGGTTGAACCGTCTGCGCTATTATGGGTATGCAGAGCCGCGCAAGGGCATGCACTTCGATCAAAATTGGGGCCAGCTGATGGTGTCTTACTTACCCCAAACGGAGTACCTGGTACTGAGAGACCCGCGGTACAATGTCGCGTATTGGAACCTTCATTACAGAGGCATTCATCTACACATGGAGAATGGCGTTGTGCTGTATGACTCGGAGCCAGTTGTATTCATGCATTTCTCAGGCATGTCTGACCTGCACAAGTACAATCTGGACACTAGGATGCAGTGTGGTACCCCAATTTTCAGTTTAGTGATGCGTTTAGGAGTTGGGTTCCCTTCCGAAACTACGCTCACCCTCTCCGCCCTTTGACGTCCTAATTTGCTTGTCGTTTTAGGAGTCCATTTCACCGCACCAAAATCGCTTCAAGATGGTCGACTTCCCAGAGCTCCGGGAGATCGTGACTAGCTACCAAGCAATGTTGCAGAAAGAGGATGCCTGGCGATGGCGAAATGTGTCCTACAACTTCGAGTACTTCGATGATGGGACTTCTATTCCGATGGTGATCCGTCAATACTATGCTGACATGATGGATCCGGAGGAGCCTTTTCGCAATGACAAGAATCTGTTTAAGGAACTGGTCGCACACGAAAGTCCATTCGCCGTCCATGCGGACTCTGGCAAATTCAGCTTGCTGGACTGGATGCTGCAAGGTGCACACCACTTGCTTGTGGAGCAGTCGGGCCAATACCTGATATGCGAGCTGGTGTGGCAAGTTTATCTCCACAGACCTGACTCTTGCTTGGCTATAGGAGCTTGTAGATATTAATTTGGTACGAGTGCAAAGAAAACGCTGTATACAACTGCAACCATGAGCGTCAGAACGGCGCAGGATTTGCGGGCAGCCTTTCCGGATCCTTTCGGGAAGAGTGCAGAGAAATTGTTCAACTGGGCTCAGCAAAATTTAGCCACTGAGCTTGACCTCGAGAGTCTCCTGACACAACATTTTGAGAGAGAACAGCACCGGCCTATGCCGAACTTCTCCAAAGGCGTCAACATCTACGGCTACTTCTTAGGAGTCTTCGGGGTGGCCCAATCTGCCCGGTTGCTACATGGGGCCTTGAAGGAAGTCAAGGTGCAGAGAGCCGTGCAGAGAGCCATGCAGAGCCTGTATAAAATAATCATAGACTATACTACATCCCATATCCCCCTTGGGAACCATTTTGTTTACTTTTGCTTATATACACCCCAGAGGATACTCAGAATATTATTTTTTTAAGGTTCGAGTAGGAGTATAGTATAGTCACAAAAGTCTTCAGCCCCCCCAGGCTTTCTCGTGTGAGCAGGTGCAGACCCACCGCATTCTCCTTCCCTCCACCGACAAGCAGCACAGATCGAGCCTTCTTCGGTTGAATGCCTCCCGCACTCCGCGGCATCGGACGAATCTGTTTGTCACAAACGCAGACATGACACCGGTACTACGGCGTTTCGAGGATGCCTGGAAGTAGCCCGATTTCCTTGTTGTGGGGTTACGATCCCTTTTCAACATTCCCAAGACAGTGCTTGCACTGTTCCTTTGGTCAGAGTAAAGGAAACTGATAGGTCCTCCCCTCGCGACCACGTGGCATGAACGCGCTTTCCGTCCGGTAGAGGGGATCTGCAGCTTGCAGTGTTCCAACTCCTTTAGCCTTGGTCCTGTGTGGGCGCCATGAGATGCTAACCTGTTGTCGCCTTTGAATCCCTTGGGTTATCCTCTTAGAGTGGTCTTGGAACGGTTTTGGCGCGTGGTTCGGGGGTCATCTCGGAGCAGTCTTGGAGTGCTCTTGAAATGATCTTGAGGCGGTCTCGCCGGATTCAGAAAGCCTCCTGAAACCAGACCAAGGGCCCAGGCCCAAAACCCCTAAGGGGCCACCCAGAACCTAGGTTTTTATCCTGATCGCCTTCGGAAGATGCACTACAACATCGGATATTGGGCATGGGAGCTGGACACGTTTCCAGAAGAATGGATAAAACACTTGCGCTTCTATGACGAGGCGCCGCCCACCATGGAAAGCTTTTTTGGGGCTTAGCGGTTTAGGGTTCAGAGTATAGCCGTAAACCTTGAAAGTCAGGTATGGACCACCTCCGATTTCGTCACGGAATCGATCAAAACCAGCTGCCAAGCCAGCGGAATGAAAATCAGAACGCCTGTTGTGACAATGCCCATGGGCTTTGACATCAACTTCGTACTTTGGAGCCATCCTGGGAGCGTGTTCTCATAGTCAGTTTAAATCTGAGGAGGCTCGAACGCCTAATAACCCCAAGGTATCAAAAGGCACTTTAGCAGAGATAAAAAGAAGAAAAAGAAACGAAGGACCATTACAGGAAGGCTAAGTCCCGCTTCGACCTGCCAAAGCGCACCGTCGTGTTCTTGGTGGCCTGGCCGCATGTGCGCGGGCTCGGGGGCCCAGAGTCCGGCTGAGGCCTTATAGGCTTATGTAGGCTTCTCTTTAAGTTGTTTGCCTTTCCTTTTTTGTCAGTGTTCCCAGCGGGGTCCAGAATTTTTTTATAGTTATCGTGCAGCCAAATTCACATTCTAATTAAGCAGGCCCCTGGTTTGGATACAGTCTTGCTTGCCGATGTGCACTATCCTCGCTGGAAAGCTATCCGCCGGAATCCCATCTTTGATGAGTGAATGAGCCATTAAAGGGATGTTACATAGTTGGCCGCGGGCTTTGGGCTGCAGAGGTCGCGGTGTGCTCGGGTGTCTGCTTACCAACAGCTGGGATCATGTGCCGCGTGCCTCTCCTATCTCCATCACTTCGATCGACCCTAGCATTTTGTCGAGCTCATCTAAAGCCCCCAATGTAACGCAACATGCACAAGTACCCCAAATAAAAGAGTGTTTGTTGAAGGGGGGGTTCACGGACTGCAAGCAAAAATGCTCTAAATGCCAGTTTGGGCATGTTCGCCAAAGGCATGAACGTTTGCGATAATAGCGTGTCTTGTTCCACATCCTTGTGCAGTCTGCTGATGAGAGGTAGAAACCGCTGTGAATGCAAGTGTTTCGGGCATTGTCGCCATAATTGGCCCACCGCCCCCGATCCCCCCACGCCACAAACACACACGCGGGTGCGATTGCTCGGCAGAAGTACAGTGCCTCACTTGAAAGTTCATCGGTGGTGCTGAGAGGGGTTGTACGTGCCCCGAAGAAGCTTATAGCATGGTGACCCCTTTAAGACTAACCCAATTAACACCAGACCCCCAAGTCCTTCCCATACCACGGGAGGGCATCCTATTTGCCCGCCAAAGGTGCTGTTCGACTTCCAAAGCTCTTTTCACCGCATCTAGGCTTTGAAGTGGCGTCCGTTTTTGTTTTCCCGGTGCCTACCAGATTATTCCCAAGCCAGCAAGTACGTTCAGGTTTAGGATTTAGGGGCTCGGGTTTAGGTTTTCGTTTGCAGTCCTTGAAGCCCAGGCAAGAACCCCTTGGGCGCACTGGAAGCCTTCCGGTTTGCGTTTGAAGGCCGCGGGCTGGGAGAGGGGCTTACTATAGTGCCCTTGTATGTCAGGATTTCGCCTGAAAATGAACAGAAGCCAATCAACATTATTTGTTCCTGGGATCACTGCCGGGATCTAGGAGACTCGCCGGACTTGCCGGACGTTCTGCTCGTGATCAAGTGTCTTGTACCTCGAACACATGGCTTCACATTTGAGCAGGAGTTCCTTGAGCTGAAGCAGGCTCCCTGGGACTAAATGAACCCTAGATTAATGATCTTGTTAAATGATACGCCATGCTACCATAGTCCGACTAAAGCTCAAGGGTTCGTTTCGGCCCTAAGCCCTGATCCCTAAATAGGCTGTGGACAAGAGCCGTCGTGTCCGACTTATGACGGACGCCCTCACCACACAGGAGCTGTCCACAATCAAGTCTTGCTCTCTTTAGGGTCTCGTGGTCCCGACACCCAAACCCGAACCTCAAAGCATCAGCCCCCCCCGGGAGCCCCGCAAACCCAAAAATCTACCTAAGCCCTAAACGCTTGCGTGCTGTTCAATAGCATCGGTTTCATTGCACTGCCAGAAGATGCATTCGCTCATGGCCTCAGTGGATGTATTGGTTTCAATGCATCGTTCAGAAGGCTTTGGCCTCCCATTGCCACCTGGGCGCAACTTCTAGAGCTTCCACCTTTCCAGGTCTAGGGGTTAGAGGGGAGGCATTTGGGGTGTAGGATAGCCAAAGCCCACAAGCCCTAAACCCGATTTTCAAAAGGCTGGAAATGCTAATGCTGGGCAAGCCAGTAATCGCCACAGCCTACAGTGGAAACATGGACTTCATGTCCAAGCTGCCAGAGGAGTTTCAGTTCCTCTTGATTCCATATCGCTATGTGCCTCGGGGATGAAATGAACCTCATGCTCCTCCAACCCCCATGTACATGGACCCGGGAGTAAAGTCGGCCCCATGCAAGGTGGGGGTCAACGTGTCAGAGCCGTTCAAGCACATCTACAGATCGGACCAGCGCTGGGCAGATCCAGATATTGCGCCTGGACCGTAAGTGAGTTTGGCTGTTTCTCTTTAAACAATGGTACCAGTAAGTTGTTCGGCGGTTTCAAGAAGCAGTAAAGGAGCAAGCCGCCAAGGCAATGGTAATGTTGGCTTCAAACCAAAGCCTCCGGGACAGATGTGAAGCTGTAGTTGGGCCTTTGTTCCGGGAAACTTTTGGCCAGTGGAGCGTTGGCATGAGAATGAAAGCCCGACTGCGAGCTATTCATGGGAAGTCTTCTTGACGCGCAGGAGGCCAAATTGGAATTCGGCGGTGTCGAAGATTCCACGGTTCTTTGGTTTTAAACGTGGTGAACACACTACCGTGGGCTGGATGAAGCGCCTGAAGAGCTTTCTAAACCCTGATGTGACTGGGCACTGCGTCTTGGTCTGACGAGAACTCTAAGGAGTTGTCTGAAAGTCGTCGTTCCTTGCAGGCGAGGCACTGACTTTCTGCTGCCGAAAGCTGGCTGAAAACATCTTGCCGTTTCTAGTTTCTAGCTTCAAGGTTTCAAAACGTTAAACCCACGTATGCATCATCTCCTCGACCCGTAAGCCCCTCAACCCTATAAACCCCAATTACCTTTCGTCCCCAGGTTACACGGGAACCTAGGACATGAGAACAATGAGAACACTTTCAAATGGCGGAGCTTGCAGGGAAGGAAGCTAAGTCAACATGCTTGCCTCGGATCTATTCACTAAGGCCTTCCGAAGTCTACCTCTCTACCATGAAGCCTTAATACCTCTTTGCCGCAGGCTCCATCCCTCAAGCGTATGACACCTACCTCGACTCAAGCCGTCTCAAACTCCCAAACCCTAAACGCTTAGTTCATAAGGGCGCTTGGACAATAATGTTGAAACCTGTTTTAGACAAATATAACGGTAAGATGAAGCACAGCACAACAGGAATGACACCTAATGAAGCTCACAAGGACGAGAATAGTGTAGAAGTAAATGCAAATTCAGTAATGAAAGAGAAGTATTTAAGAAAGTATCCTAACATCAAAGAAGGGGATGAAGTTAGGGTATTTACTAAAAGTGGTGGAAATTATACCAGTCGCAAAGAGACCAGAAATCAGTGGAGTGAAAAAGTTTATGAAGTGAAAGAAGTTAGTAGAGACACACAGTTGAATAAATATTATGTTGTTGAAGGACTGAGTAAGAAATATATGAGACACGAGTTATTATTAGTTAATTCATAAAATATGCACAAGGTGTGTCATTAAAAAACTTTACAAAAAGGACTTAAAGATAAAACGCCTTAGTATATTAGGGAGATTATGACTGAATATTTTACAGAAGTGGAACAA